AAAACTACCATTTGCGATAAGGTGGGCACAAATACTTGACGAGTGGGAATGCTTAAGACAGCCCTGACGACTAATCCACCGAACTGGACGCCTCTCGCTCATCCGTGAACTTTATCGCAGTTACCACCTCGGTGCACCACGCCCCATACCAACATCGTCACAAGGCATTGCGCTTAACCTCCTCTATCACACCTCCAGCACCACACCACATCACAACTCGCCATCCACCTCGTCGATGCGCCAGCGGGTTCGCAGGTGGAAGAGAAAAGCCGTACCTTAGAGACGAAATAAGGCTTGTATTGTGTTCATAAGTGAGATAGATTGTAACATTGAAGAAGAAGCAGTTTCGGTTCCTGCGAGGGCATCAGGCGAGCAGCTTGTACAAGATGAGACTGCCGACAATGAGTGGTGTGCTCACGCGTAGTTCACAAACCGAGTCTACAACAAAAAGCATCAACATGACGCATTCACCCGCACTCAACAACTGTTGATAGCAAACAGCATGGGAGTGTGGTGTGGAGCAGCCTCGTCTTACCTTCTGCTGCCAGTGTCTCCGATCCGTTCAGCACGTCCACCGTGGCATTGCCAGTGTCTCCAGCCTCCTTGGTTTCATCATTTGCCACTTCCTCCTCGGCGTCCTGGGAGACGGCCAGACAGACACAGACGATGAGTAAGAAGAGCGTTTTGAGTGAAATCATGATGATGGCGTGAGTGAGAACGCGAGCCGAGTTGCTGTGTTGATGACGAATTTGCTGACGACGTGTGCGTGGTTAATTTGAAAAGGAAAATCGATTGTCCTTGAGTTCGCGTGCCTCAGCCAATCGGATGCGAGCAGAAGTGAGTGAGATCGCAGACTCGTAGTCGTGTCATCAGGTGGTCGAGAGTAGGAGTCCTTTCTGCTTGCGCAGACGTCTGTGGCAAGATAGTGGCTTATCACGAATGCGACTTGTAGATCATTTAGTCCTTGCTTGTATCAAGGTTGAATCCTTTAGGTCATAAGCACTGTCTTTCGACCGAGGTTTAACAAGGGAGGAAAGCATACTCATCTCCTTCCCCACATATTTTACGAATAATCCCAATTTAATTCTTTAACACCTCAGGATGCGGTATTAATTCCGACCCCAAATATCTGAGTTACGTACCATTTGTTTATCCGCTCAGAACTGCACATATCTCCGTCATGGAAAGTCGACCAGCGCTACGCAATCGTAAGTACGAAATTGGACTGTCTAAGTCCTGTTGAAAGAGTCAGTATTACCAATACCATGACAACCTTACGGGACAATAACCTGCAACACACCCGCTCAGAAGCATTGAGATAAAGGCTGCAAAAATTGAAACAAAATAAAATATTTAAAATACCATTTGGCAAAGTTACCCACTCCCCAAGCATAGAGAAGGAAGAAAAGCAACAAGAAAACACTACCATATTTACATTAATCAAAGGGACCATCGCGTCTGTTCCTAAAAATAACTGAAGCGCACAATTCTTAGCTCTACTTGTGTATGATACCATTCAAAAGAAGGCAGAAAAGCGATTGCTTTCCTCATCGCTATCACTATCACTGTCACCGTACTCATCAAGATCACTGTCGCGTGAGTGTTTGTCACTCGACTCCAGGTCCTCCTCGTCAGGGTAGTCATTGCGCCAATTTGATTCACTGTTGGAATCGGAGTCCTCTCCATCATAGAGATGTTTTTCGTCAAACTCATCGGAATCGCCCTCGTATATGCCTTCCAGAGGTGGCTCATCGCCCAGATCATCTGGAATATCCTCGTCAAAATTCGTACTGACTGCGTACAGGTCGTAGAGGAAAGTATCATCGACCGCACTTGCATCCTTGCTTTTATCATGGGTATCAGCCTCCCATTTGGATGTTCTTTCGGAGACAAGACTAAGATCATTTAAGGTTATTGCCAACGGATCCGACTGGGACTGATAAGCGAGATCAATTATACGAAGTGATTTAGGTGCAGGAGGATAGGATGAATTTCGGATGCCAATCTTTCCAACGATCCCATTTTCCGCATCTTCATCTTCTCCAATATCCGCTTTTCGCTTTGGTGCTGTAGTTTCTTTTGTCGAGACACGAATCTGATAAGACAAGAGCCATATCGTTTGCACCGCGATACAACCTTTGGGATAATTTAAGTAA